AGGAGGGTCAGAGGGATTGTAGTCGGTGGAGGTGTTATAACTCGAATTTTTGAAATGATTTTTTTTAAATGAAAAATCTGAATTTCAGTGTCATGTCTTGGCAAAGAATGAACATAGGGGAGGAGAGAAGATTATTCATAGCTTTTTCGTCAGTCAATTTTGTTTAAAAATTTCTTCTATTAATTGTAAGTAACTCAAATCTCATTTTAGTTTTTAATGATTTTAAGTTTGACAATTTTTTCTCCTAAAATTATAAAAATGTATTTTCTCATAATTTATCGAGTTTTTATCATATAACTTTTTGTATATAATAGATATGAATAATGCAAATATTTTAATAGTAACATCACTGAATTTCACCGGGTAGAATTAAAGTTATGATTTTATGAAATTATAGATATCACAGATTTTTTTTGTAGCGAACATAATTGACTATTTCATACTATATTTTAATTGTGATATTTGAATAAACAATAAATGTTGGTTGTTAACACTATAAAATATGTTAGCTGTTAAAACATAATTTCCAGTGCAGGAGGGTGAGACGATGAGTTCCTTTAAAAATGATTTGTGATGTTATCCCAGTTGTAGTTTGTAACATATGTCCAAATTATATCGACGGGTAGAGAGTGACGACTCTTAATGATTATTAAAAGCTGCATGCAATAATAATAATAAAATATGAAAGATAATAAGATAAAGAAAGAACATATGAAATGGCGAAAATATCATATTAAAGCTGGATATCCTGCGTTGCATAACCATATACTGATGCATGCATATACTAATAGCATTGATAAATAGAGTAGTAATATGTATACATAGATAACATATCAATGAACACAAGTATTGATTGCATATAATCGATAGGATGGATGTAAGATGATAAAACTGATAATTTTGACACCTATGTGCATGTAATTTTTTTTAGTGATGCTTGAATGATTATAATACAGTTGTTTCACTAATTTACTAATATCATGCATGTTATTGATTCATATATTCATTGTAATGATTTTCCTACTTTTATTATTGATTATTTTGAGCTTTACAAATGATGACTGATCATTGATGAGGTTGATCTTATTGACTGAACTAAGTAAGCTTTAGTGGGTTTGGTTTAATGCTGAGCTTTTTGTCTCATTATGTGAATTTATGATTTTAAGTTAGGGATGAGTTAGGACCAGTTGGAGTGAAAATTGACTGAGATCTTTAAGTTTTCTTTTGATTTTATTTTTATTTTCTCTTATTCTTTTGTAATCAGGAGTTTATGATAGAGAAGTAATTATACTGATCTTGTGGCTATTATATATTAATTTTTGAAGAATGAATATACTTGACTAATTTGAGTCATACAATTATTAGTTATTTTCCCTAAATATATAGATTTTTTATTTTGATGATTTATAGAGGCTCTGATTGATTAATTAAGAAGATAAAATATATAATTTTTTTCAAATTTGATTATGGTGCATTATAGGATGTCCAGCGGTGATCAACAAACGGGCTATGGTCGGAGGCCTGGTCGAGGTCATGCGGTGTGAGCAGTCGGGTGAAGGTCGACGGATGTTGGTGGTCAGGTGGTGGTATAACCATGATCGGCGGACGGGCAGTACTCCAGCGACGGTTGGCGATAGCATGGTGGTCGATAGAAATTCGTTGGTAGTGGTACTTGGGCAGAACTCTAGGATCCTTGGAGCAAGCTCTGTCCATTATGCAATCAAAAGGTCCCAGTCCCCTCCAAGAGTCCAAGTCCTCTTTTCATGTGGGAATATGGGGTCTATTTATATATTTTGAGAGTGAAATGCCTCATAAATATGGAGAAGGTTCAGAGTAAATTCGGAGTGCTCCATTGGATGACCTATATTGATTATATTGATCATAGAGCAATCATCAAGCATTTAAGTGTCTTAATAATGTCAGAATTAAGCGATATTAGGCTTGTTAGATTCGTCTCGTCTAGCCGGTCGATTATATTATAAGTATTTCATATTTGGATATAATTTGGTCATCCAATTTATAATTCGAATCTTTCAAATGTGCTTAAGTCCCTTGATTTGGGCCTGTGTGGGCTTGAATTGGACTTATTTTAGTGTTGTTGAATTCGTTTCTTTGAGACATTCGATTTGTTTACAAGTTAGCTAAAATTGCAGTTTTGATGACTCCAAATTTAATTTTATAAACTTTTTTTTTAAACAGAACTTTTAATTAAAAAACAAAAGAGGTTACAAGAGGTTGAAATCAAAGAAAAAAACAATAAAAGAAAATAGATTGAATCAGCAAAAATAGGCTCAGTAATTGGCCGAGGCTTACAGCCCCCCGAAGCCACCATCGACCTTCCAATTTGGTGATGAACGATACGATAACAGCCGAGCAGAAGGCAACAAATTAATCACCAAAGGTTGCCAGGAATAATAACATCAAAGAGCGAGCCCCGGCCACATCATTTCCTGTTACAACTATAACCAACCAAAAAATTCGGACGAATCAGCTTGAAATAAACCAATCACAGTGCACAAAAGGAGCCAAATAAACTAACGACCCCATCTACTCCTCCCACGGGGTCTACCACGAGAAACGACAAAAACTGGACGATCACGAACAATTTTGAAATCATGTCCAGGATCCAAACCACCACCATGATCCGAAGAGGAATCGGATTCAGCATCAAGATTCATGCTCTAATAACTTAAAACTTCAATATGCCTCGAGATTCATGCTCTAATAACTTAATTTTTTTATGACATTAAATTATTATTAATTTTTTTATCATTTTAACTAATTTAATAATATTTATATCATCATGATTGAATCAATGATTAAACATTTGAATATTACAAAATCCTTTCACTCAGTTCAATGTTTGGTTAGAATTTTAAATTATTGCTGATTTTTGCCTATATATATAATCATAAAATTACCTCAAAGTTTAATGAGTTTTATTTGAATAATAATGCTATAAAAATGGATTAAAAAAGATTCATAAATGATGAAAATTAACTTTTTTATTTTTTAAATAAAAAATATTTTGATTGATATTAGTCCGGTCGTTCTAATCAAACTCCATCAAAGAACACAAAAAAAAATGATTAAAGAATGATAAATAATTACATATAAATCATCTTTCTTAATAAAATATCTTATGAGTAGAAATATGTTATGGAACTAATTAATTGATCATGAAAATTTATTTATAGAATATGAATAAATAAAATATATAATTAATGATATAAAAATTTCTATTACATTTATCTAAAGATAAATTTAAAATTATTTCGATAAAGATTGAAATGAATATATCTAGCCCTACTTCTTCTCTTTTGTTGTTATCGACGCAGGTGAGTTTACCAACAAGTAGTTAATGCTTCAGTCAGTCCTAAGATAAAGGGCTGCATCGATACTATTTAATTTTGTACGAATTTTTCCTAATATCAATGAAATAACTCATTTTTAAATGCCATTAATGAGGATAAGACAAAAAAATAAAATAAAATAAAATAAAGATTACATAGTTTAATATTTCTATATCGCACCACGCATACTTGCTAACTAATTAATTATATTGCGTTGAGAGATTATGGTTAGCAAAATCTATTTATTATTTTAATAGCCGATCTTATTATAGTAAAAATAACAGAGAATTCAGAAAATAATGCCCAAATTATTTGTTTATGATCAAATTATTTTTGTTATTTTTTAGATCTCAATCATAATTTTTATTTGATCATTATTTTTTACTATTTAAAAAAAATTTGTATTAGGAAGTTGTTTTCTGTAACGATTTTAAAAAAGCTACTTTCTCCATAATAACTTCTCAAAGTAGTAAAAAAGTCATACCAAATGAAATTTTAGATTTCGTTTGGACGACTTTTAAAACAGTTTTTTTGTATAAAAAATTATTTGTTTGTACTAAAAAAAATGTTTTAAGAAGCAATAAGAAAACAATCCCAAACGAAGCTTTAAACTTTATTTGGAACAATTTTCTTATTACTTTTTAAAACAATTTTTTAGTACTAAAAGTTATAATGTAAAAATATTCTATACTAGAAAACTGCTTTACAAAACTGTCTCAAACGAAGGCTTAGACTTTGTTTGGGACGGCTTTCTTATTGCTTCTTAAAGCAGCTTTCTAATATAAAAATTTTAATTTTTGTACTAAGAAGTTGTTTTAGGAAGCAGAAGAAAGCCGTTCCAAACGAAGCTTTAGTCTTGGGCTTCATTTGGAAAGACTTGCTAACTGTTTCTTAAGACAATTTTTTACTACATAAATTTTAATTTTATATTAAAAAACTACTTTAAAAAATAATAAAAAACCGTCCTAAATAAAGTCTTAGAATATCATGAATCCTAATTTTATCTCTTGATCAAACAAAATTGATCCAAAATAAATCATGATATTGTAATTCTGATATAAATTAGTTCCAATTTAATCTTTTAATTTTTTAAAATTGATCCTAATTTAATTTTAAAGGAACATCTTAGATCAATTTTATATAATCTAAGGATTAAATTGAAGTAATATTATTTTCTAAAATTAAAATGACGATGTATTGATAATTGAAAGACTAATTTAAAACTTAAGCTTTATTTGAGAGCTGGGACGGTTTTTTTATTATTTTGTAAAGTTTTTTTTTTAGTAAAAAAGTTCTTTAAAACAGAAAAAAAAAATAATCCCGAACTATTAATCCGTGAAAAAAAAAAAAAATCGACAATAAGTGAGAGCCATCCAATTATAAACCGGATTTAATGCACCGTCGCCGTCGGCTCGAACCAGTTGGCCCCAACGGCTATGACGACCGACGGTGATAACTCTATAAGAACGAGAAGCTGCACTTTGCAAATCAGAAAACAGCATTGTTAGCGATTCAGAAGCCAACACTTACGTGTAGTCACCAGACTGTCCGCGAAAGCTACCGCTAGTGTTCTGATTGTTCTATTCTATCCAGCACGACCGGGAGACTGAGAGAGACGGAGAGGGGATATAGAGGGAATGGGTGTCGATGAGATATCGAACTTCGCCTTCGCCACTCACTTTGTCGGGAACGAAGGTTAGGGTTTGGAGCCACGGTGCGAGCTTGTTAGACAGGATTTGGGGGCGGTGGAGGCGGCGAAAGGGGAAGATGATTAACTTCTTTGTCTATCAGTACCATTCGCAGAGGAGGGCGGTGTACGCCGCTCTTCTTTTGATGCTTCTCCCGGTATTCTGGCCCGCGCTTTTCTCACCCCTTGGTCATGCCTCTCCTTCCATGTTTTCGGTGAGTTGCTATTCCCATGCCGTTGATGTGTGACTCTAAGAGCTTTTGAAGGTTTTGATTTGATGACATTGTGAAATTGTCTGGATTATGTGAGTGGGCAGCGTGAGAGTAGTTGGAAACTGGGAGTTTGTTCCAACTCCTAGGTCGATTTGTTTCGGATGATGAACTAACGATGTGTAGGATTCAGCAGGTTTTTTTTTTCGTCTCGTCGGGATTGTTTAGCTCTTATTTTGTTTCACATTGACATGATTACTAGAACGAGAGGCCACGAATCTGAAGTTTGTTTGTAAACCTGAGAATTGTTAATTGCTTGTTTATAGCAGCGGAGGAACCGGAAAAACTTTTTTAAGGGGACACATAAACTAATTTTATATGAGAAAAGGATGGAGTGGTGGCAAATAAGATTAGAGAGAGTCATCTTAGATGGTTTGGTCACATAAAACATAGGCGTTCCGATGACCAGTTAGGAGAGTAGATGTATTAGATTTGGCCTATGTTAAGGAAGGTAGAGATAGACCTAAAAAGATATGGTTAGAAAGTATTAAAAATGACATTTTTATTAGATTTAAATGAGAAACAGACTCTTAATAGGACATAATGGATAAAGAAAAATTCATGTAGCTGACCCCTCTTCATGGGATAAAGGCTTGATTTTATTGTTGTTTTTTATTATATCATGGAAGTAGAATAATGCTAGTGTGACCATTCCATCGTTCACATTCCGTAAACAAAGATATGAAACATGCTTTCATACATCATTCCTACTTTTTACTAATCACTTAAGATATGACATTGAACATTGATAAATAAACTCTGACTCAAAGATAACATACACATAACATCATCATGCTTGGTGTTAAAGATGTTGTGATCAATCTCATTATTCACATTATTTAATTAAGAAGAGGGCTACATATACTGAAATCCTATCATGACGTGCTCATAAATCATGAATTACAAATATGCTTACAATGCATCACCACCTTATTATATTTTACTAACCACTTGAGGCTTGGCAATCAATTGTACCAAATAAGCATTTAATATAGTACAAAGAAAAAACAAATTAAAAGATGGAAAAAATACAACATTTTATATCAAAATAATCATGATGAAGCTATGAATATGCTGAGAAGAAGAACATTGCAATAGAAGTAGTACTCTTCTTTGAATCTTTCTAGAAGAGTAACAAAAATGTGGTGTTCTTTGACTACGGTGATGTGCAATATAATGACTATTGTTGGTTCTTAGTCACTATTCATAGAATTTGTCTAAAATTTTGCCAACTATTTTCCATTAATTAGCTTTCATTCCATTGAATACTAGTTTGAGGCTTCACAAGAAGTCCTTTGTAATAAAATGCCTTGGCGTTGCAGATGGCAGAGTAAGTATTGACTCATGCATTAATCAACTAATTACGAAAACCATTACATCATAACTTATAGTCGCATAGAAGAATCTCCTAGCTTGTGAAAAAGATCGTTGCCAAAGAGAGCATCACTAGAAATAGATCAAAAGATGAGGATGCCGGTACCGAAAATCATACTTGGACGAGGAAGAAGATTCAAAGATTATAGAGGAGGGGAGAATGGTTTCCTAGATGAAAAGATGAGAGCCTTTTAAAAAACCTAACTCCAAACTGAAGAGAACAAGTAAGAAGATAGTCATCATTATAATCATGTTCTCAAACTCCCCAAAAATCCTTCCTAAAACGCTCTAAATGAGCGGTCGGGCCGCTCGTTCTAGCGGAAGCTCCGCCTGTTCTGCTATTCCGCCCTTGAACCGGTCCCGCCTGGACCGGCTGGACCGGTCTAACAGAAGATAGTCATCGTTATAATCATGTTATTTAAGATGGTTTGATAACTAGCTTCATCACTATTCCAACCAAAGTAGATCCATTCATGTGAGCTTAGCATGATCAAGGAAGCATTGAAATTCCAACCAGAGGACACTTCAAACATTGCCAAAATTCACCTTCTTCCTTATATGTATAATTTAGCCAATCAGGCAAGAATTGCAATCTTCATGAACGTTGCACCTTTCAAATAGAGCCATGGATGTCAAAAGGAGCTTGATATTGATTAATTGATTAATTCAAAAACCACTATCTTTTCATGATTAATTGATTAATTGAAAACCGCTCTCTTTCCATAGAAAGACATGGCCGAAGACTTCAAAATTTTAGAAGGAATTTGAAGCATGCGGCCTGCTAAGACATGGCTCATGGAGGAATAACACAAATCAAGGATACAAAAGGAAATCTAAATTTAAACTAAAGGAGCATGTAGCCAATCCCTCCCTCCCTCTCCATGGAATTATATATTTATTTTATTCTTCAAATAATTATATTCAAATTCATTTAAATATGTGGTGGCTTTGCGTCAGACTTAGAATTGAATGAATTGAAATGAGGGTTGCCTGAGAGCCATATAGATGTAAGGCTTTGTGGTTCTATTCTGTTAGGGAATTTTAATGGTAACTTAAAAATATAATGTGTCCTCTCTTATTTTTCTAATGAATAAAATCTTGACATTTTCATTGATCTTGTCATTTTCTTCACTTCCATGTTCTCCTTCCCTTCCTGCTTTGGCTCGGCCACCATTTCGTAACCCATCCTTGGCTAAGAAAAAAAACACCAGGGAGGGAAGAAGACAAGGCTACAGAGGAGACATTGTGGAGTCAAATGTGCGCCAAGCTGCTTAAGTGGGGTAGAGCAGGCACTTAGATTTTCCTTGCTGTTCTTCTTAAGCAAAGAAAAGCCACACTCTATGTAACCTGCCTTAAAAAAATACACAGAGTTGTGTTTGGCTGAGAAATATGGCTTAAGCCGACCTAAGATGTTTAATAAGTTTGAACCAAGCAGGCCGTCATAGTTAAAAATATAGAAAAAGAAATAAAAGAATCCCAAGTGAATTCTGTCCTCAATTACCTTGGAAAATTGTTTTGTGCTTTATATTCCAGGAATACACAGTGCTTTATACATTATTTATAAATGATGTTTGAAGTTATCTCCGTTTATATAATAATAAAACTCAGTATTGATAGTATAATTCTTGCTCAGGTGGATGAGTGGCTTTACTCTTAAAGGCAGAATATCAAATGAGCATATACTTGAAAAGGTAGGAGTAGCTTCTGTGGAAGATAAGATTAGAGAGAGTCGCCTTAGATGGTTTTGATCACATAAAATGGCGGCCTTCCGATGACCCGGTTAGGAAAATAGATGTATTAGATTTGACTTATGTTAAGAAACATAAAGGTAGACCTAAAAAGATTTGGTTAGAAAATATTAGAAATGACATTTCTTTATTAGATTTAGATCAGAATTTAACTCTTAACATGACACAATAGAGAAAAAAGAATTCATGTAGCTACCCCACAATGGGATAAAGGCTTGTTGTTGTTGTTATTATATAGATACTATAATCCTTCATATCTCCCATTGGCGGCTGACCTGTGTTTTTTATCTTAGGATTAAATGCAACAAGCTTCATGTACACATTTCCGTCCCCAATCAGTTAAAATAGCATTTTATCATTTCCATAATTTCATAAAAAGAAATTGATTTTTTCTTGCAGGAGTGGAATGCTCCAAAACCAAGACACGCATCTCTTCTGAAGGCCGCTTTGATTTCTGAAATTGTGAGCTCAGTTGTTGAAAAAGCATCTGCATTTGTTTTTTTTTTGCTTGTGTTAGCCTTTGCTGATGTTTCTTATTTTAATTTTCTTTGCAGCCCAATGAGCGGAAGTCTGAGCTCTGGGCTCCTTTGGCGCCACAGGGTTGGAAACCCTGCATTCCATCAGCAAGTATTACTGGTAACTGTTGTTTACAATATGGGCAAAATGTACCTCATAGCAAGAGACTTAATTTTATTATCTTAATAATGTACTTCTGAATTATTGATTTTTTTTTTCTTGCATCTAGGACGCCCTGTGAAGTCAAGTGGATTCATCCAAGTGTTTCTTGATGGAGGGTTAAACCAGCAAAGGATGGGGGTAGGCTCTTCGGTCTTTTAACTTGTAATCGAAACTTGAGTGTACACTTGACAGACATGAAAATTTTATGGAAACATTTGTATTCTCTCTTCAATATTTTTCCCTGTAAAATGGACCATATCACTAGATATAAAATATGTTTTCTTATGTAGATTTGTGATGCTGTTGCTGTTGCTAAAATCTTAAATGCAACCCTAGTAATCCCTCATCTTGAAGTAAATTCTGTTTGGAAAGATTCAAGGTAGTTCTAGCTAAGCTGTGTTTTTCTTCCTCTTTTTTAGTTATTTGTTGTGTAGTTTAAGTAAAAACAATACTGATAAATCATTGTTGTTTTGCAGCTCGTTTGAGGAAATCTATGATGTGGATCACTTCATTAATGTGTTGAAGGATGAAATCTCTGTAGTAAGAGAGTTGCCTCCAGAATATGCATGGAGCACGCGGGAGTATTATGCTGTTGCCATTAGGACCACAAGGATCAAAACTGCACCAGTTCATGCATCAGCAAACTGGTACCTAGAGAATGTTCTTCCTGTTCTTCAAAGGTTAGTTAAAGATTAATCTTTAATTTTTCATTTTCTCTAGTACTTTTAACAGACTCCCATTTAATCCTCTCCATAGCGGGGAGAGAGACATGGAGGAATTTCTTTAAAACCTAAGAAACAATTGCAAAATTCTCGTGCTTTGTGATGGTTAATTGTAATGATCTTAAGAAATTTTCATCTACCATCCTGTTGGAAGAAAATTCTTTTGCTGGAAGTGATGCCGCAGCACCTGCGAATGAGATGAACAGGGAGAAAGCAACAAGAAAATACTCACAGTAACTGTGTGTTTGGTTGTATTGATCAAAGGCAAAACTACTGTAGCTATTACAATGCCGGTAGTATATACTAAACCTTTCTTTCTACTAAAGCTTAAAACAGAAAAAGCTGTAGCTTGTACTGCATAACTAAATGGGGGGGGGCGGCAATTAGGGGTTTGGTCGGTTGGATCTCAATGGGAAGGGGAAGAAGATGAGAAACACAACGAGAAGACGATAAATTAACCACGAGCTGCGGACTCTTCCAACGACTGGTGGGCCTTGCGATTTGCTCACCTTGAGCTCTCTTCCCTCTCAAGCACTCATGCTAGAAAAGTGGAGACAAAACATAACTTTTTTTCATTCCCAAAATTCATCCCCAAAATACAAAAACAAGGACCTATATATAGGTCTCAACACAAAGAAGACGCAAATACTAAATTGCCCTCGGGCTACATCATGACTCAACATGAAAATAAAGGGTACAATAGGAATATATAAAAGACTGAAATGCACAAATAAATCTAAAAATACAAGCTCTCAATTGTGGCCATCGATCTGCGATTCTTCCGGCGATACACATGCTTGAATCTCTGATCGATGTCCTCATCATATATCTTTTAATTTCCTATGTCAAAATCCATATTATATTGTCGACCTATCTGTAGTTTTATAAAATTTTCCTCCAAGCCTTTATTATATCCTCTTCTTGCGCAATACTCTTGATATTCTTCTTCATTTTAACCACTCATTATTAATTCTAGAAATTCTTCTTTATTTTTCTGTATATAGATTCAAGATGGTTAATCCTTTAACCCCTGACTTTTGCTTTATCTTTTAATAATATTAATTAATAATTGTTAATTTCACATTATCTAAAATTTTAGATTGTATAGTCATCTTTTGCTGTATTGATTCTAAATTTTTTATCCTCTAAATGCTTTATCTATTACTCTTATTTTTAGTGGTAGATTTCATTTTTAGAGCTATTTCATATACAAAAAATATATATCAATGTATCTTACTTTTAATATCATTTGTAAGCATCCTTATAGTTAATATAATTCACAACTATTTTTAACAGTTGGATGTTCTCCATTATTCATGTATTTAGAAAATTTAACATATTTTCGATACCATTCTTGTTTTTGTACTAAATTAATTAGAAATCATGAAGAAATCCCTTTTTTTTTGCTCTTATATACTTCACTTTACTTTTTGTCTTTAAAAAATAGCTTTATTGGTAGATTTTCTTAGACTTAATTAAATTGATTCTTCAAAATTAATGAAGTTGTTATAATTCTATATTTTTTTTCTCCAATTGTCGGATTCATATTTGTATGTTGATTATGCTAGAATCATACTCACAGGATTCATGAAGTTTCAGCGAATTAGAAGAATGAGAGAGAATAAAGATAGAAATATGCCAAAGGAAAATAAGGAATTTAGAGAGAGAGAGAGAGGCTTTATGACTTGATTATAATAAACTTGAGTATAAAAATTGCCTCTCTTTTCCTCCCTAAATGGCCATCTGTCTCTTTATTTGTATGGTTTTGGGTGTTGAAGTAATATATAATTTAAAATATATGCTTTGGTTTAGAGTGTGTGGCTAATTAAATTCATGAGATAGACACATTTGGAATGATATCTCATTGGGCTAATTAAACGATGTTGATGACCTCGTAATGATAATAATCATTGGGTGGCGTTCGACATTTGACTTGTATATACCATGCTTATTATATGGATTGCTTATTCATTGGGTAAGGCTTCACTTTACAAAAAATTCTTAAAAAGTTGGAGTTCATTTTACTTCGATTGTCCAAGTACTTTTCAAGTTAAAGTTCATAGCATTGAGTTATATCTTACTTTTATTGGGCCACCTAAGTAACGTGGATCCCAATTTAATTTTGAGTAGATTTTTTAGGAAGCGTAGAAGTACTCAAAACTATTTCATGCCTTGATGATGGATTGATGAAAAATATCACAGCTACAATCTTTCCACAATATTTTTATTAGTCTGATTCTTATTTATGTTGCCATATTGTATGACTTACCGAGTCCAACTTGTACTTTTTGTCAATCTTTTTATGGTAAGTTTACTTGTTGGCCCAAATCTACGCTTCATATAATATTATAACACAAATAATCCCATAATATATACTTCCTCAATTCACGTCCAATTTTATCAGCATGAGCCAGCTCATTTTGGCTGATAGCTTTTTTTAAAAAAATTCTAAAGGGAATGGTGTATACCAACTTATCTTATTCATTTTTTTTTGTTTCTTCAGTTATGGAATTGTAGCAATTGCTCCCTTCTCACACCGCCTTGCTTTTGACAATTTGGCTGGTGACCTTCAGAGGTTGCGTTGCAAAGTCAACTTTCAGGCATTAGCATTTGTTCCTCATGTCAACACATTGGGAGAAATGCTCGTTAAACGCCTCAGATATCCAAAACATGTGCGCTCTGATGAATATATACAGGAGGTTGTCGACGAAAATGTTAGTAACGATGGGAATGGGAAGTATGTCACATTGCATTTGAGGTTTGACAAGGTATTTTTGAACACTAGTTTTTCTCATAGTAAATGTTCACAATGATCTTTAGACTTTTTAGTTTTGCCCATTATAATCTAAGATTTTTACTTATATTTAATCAATCCCTCAGTTTATCAAATATGAATCAATTTGGTTCTTCATCAACTTGTCATTCGTTGAACGGAGATCGGTGGAGGAAAGTATTCCCTAAGGAGGTTTATCAAATGAGATTGATCTTAAATGTCATAATTACTCTCATGAAAAGCTTTTCTCCAACAATTTCCCCTTCAATAATTTGTCTGAAGAAATGATTAAGTTGACAATATGATCAAATTTGTTTTAGATTTGATGAGTAGTAGAACTAAATAGAAATCCGAAAAAAAAAACTTTAGGATTAAGATAGTCCCACTTAAAAAATTTTGGAATCATTTGATCATTTTTTTTTAATCACAGTACCTAGTTAAGTGAAATAACAGTTGTTAGGAATGTGCAATTAATACTCTAGATGCGTTTAAGTGTAGATTAGTATTTCCATTTGACTATAATTGAAGACATTTTGCAGCAGATCCTAAAATTGGCAACTTTGCAGGACATGGCAGCTCATTCAGCCTGTGACTTTGGTGGTGGTAAAGCTGAAAGGTTGGCTTTAGCTAAGTACAGACAAGTGATTTGGCAAGGAAGGGTTATGAACTCCCAATTCACAGATGAAGAACTACGTAACCAGGGTCGCTGCCCAATGACGCCTGAGGAAATTGGATTACTCTTAGCAGCCTTGGGCTTCGACAACAAAACTCGCCTTTATCTAGCCTCCCATAAGGTTTATCTGCTTCTAATTTCCTTCCCTCACGATGGATTCTTTCTGTTCTGAAATCTGATTTTAAATATTATTTATAGGTCTACGGTGGGGAGGCCAGAATCTCAAGCTTGCGCAACCTTTTTCCCTTGATGGAAGATAAGAAGAGCATTGCTTCTTCAGAGGAACTTGCAAGGGTTGAAGGGAAGGCTTCTCTTCTTGCTGCTGTTGATTACTATGTCAGCATGCACAGCGACATCTTCATCTCCGCATCCCCAGGCAATATGCACAATGCCATGGTAAATTTATTTTAGTACAGAAATATGAGTTTAAGGCTTCATTTGGGATGGCTTTTTTTTTTTTTTTCTGCTTCTTAAAGCAACTTTCTAGCAGATCCCTATATGGGGTCCTAGTTGGGTACCCACGCTTTGTGCTGGTAGGCTTTGTCCACCCATGCCCATCTTTGGTGACTTTCGGGATGTCATAGCCACCCACACTCACCCACTCTTCACGCTTCTTGAATGGAGTCTGCCACGGCCTTGAGGTTTGTTGCCCTTTTCTCTGACTCCAAACTTTCAAGATTGCTCGTGGCGTTGTTCAATGTTGCGCACTGCGTAGTAAGGAATATTGTAATATACTGCATGCATATTGTGATTAGTAATGTAAATCGATTTGTCCCTTTATGTTGAGTATCCACCCATACCCACCCACGTGGCCATGGGCGCGTACCCATACCGGTACCTAATGCACGGCTCTGCTTTCTAGTACAAAATAAAAAAAAAATTATAATAGAAAGATGTTTTAAGAAGCAGAAAAAAGCGGTCCCGAACAAAACCTAAAGCTTTGAGAACTTTTAGTTCACAGTTCATAAAATGTATAATCATTTCTCTAATCACTAATATAACATTAACCAACTTTGACAAATCAAAGTATCTTGTTTCTGCTATTTGAATCCATATATTCTATTAATACAGAAATCACATGAAACGTCTATAATGTTATTAGGTTGGCCACCGGACCTATGAGAACTTGAAGACAATAAGGCCAAACATGGCTCTACTAGGTCAGCTTTTCCTGAACAAGAGCTTAGAGTGGTTTGAGTTCCAGAGGGAGGTGCAAGCAGGGCACAAAGGAAGAGAAGGACAGATTCGGCTGAGGAAGCCTAAGCAGTCCATTTACACATATCCTGCTTCAGATTGCATGTGCCAGGGATGAAATGTAAATTTCTATGGCCTTTTAGTTCCAAACTTCATATTTTAGTGTATTTTGTTGTATTTTTCATTTGATAGTCATGCCCATTGTTGCTTTTATTTGGCTTTTTGAACATGACCCTATTTGTTTATAGTCATCTTTACTGAAATTGTTCAGTAGCATGCCATTTTGGAGAGAGAGAGAGACCTGCTATGCTAGGGAAAGAGAAATAAAAAACAGTTCCCAACTAATAAGATAAAGATAGGCTACATGATTGTTTTTCTTAATGTAGTATTATTTTGAATTAGTGCATATTACATTGAAGGAGTCAAGGAGAAATAAAGAGAATCAAATAATGTAGATAGCGGCGAGCGAGAGCGGAACAAGGCACGTAGTGAAAGAGAAACGGTTTCATTTGATTTGTTGTGGATTGGATGATGGAAAAACTGGCAAGCAGCAAGCGGGGGAGAGTCAAGTTGCCTTAGCGCCAACCGTTTTGGGGCGCAAGCGTAGGCAACACAGTACTGACGGGGTGGGGCGCGCAGTTCACTGGTTTTCTGAAAAGGTTGGGTAGAGATGTTCTCATGTGTCAAATTGAAATATTGTTCTAAGTATTTAAACCTTATTTTATAATTTAAACAAATAGGTTGCAGGAGTTGATTAACTCTTGATATATTTATAGCCCTTTTCTTTTCCACTGCTATTTTTTTTTTTAATTAAGCATAGTTTTGAATTGGTGCATATTGCATCCTAAGGAGTCTAGCATCCACTTAATACTTTGAAGCTTTCAAATATGCTTCGATCTCTTGATTTGGATCTATTTGGGCTTGAACTGGACCAATTTTGATTTCGTCTCATTGAGAAATTCAATTTGATTGCAAGTTTTGGTTTAGTTTGTCCCTAATTTAATTTTGAAACTTTTCAACTCAAATATACATTGAGATTCACGCCTGTCAAAATGATTTTTGGTGACATCAATTATAAATCTTCTGCATATGATGCATTGTGATTCTTATACTCCGATCACTTCACAAAATAATACAAATTTAATTTGATCTCTCTTTCTCTCTTTAAACAAATATTATTTTCTCTATTGGTAGAGAATAAGATTTTACCATTCAAATGAAGAATTAGAGAAATCATATTCTACCATAAGTATTTATTAAGTAATCAACTCAAATGTTCTTTTAAAAAATTAATTGGAACATACTTTTAGCATGCAAATTTATAGAGCATGATTGGTATAAAAAATTTAAATTTAACTCTTTTAATATAAAAAAATATTTATCACCCATGTCAAATTTTTAAAAACTCAATTTATTTCACCCCAATTCCACAAATAATTTTAAAAAGATTTGCACCTAACTAGCAATCTCTCTCATGAATATAAACATCAACAGTATTCAAAAGATTGGGGCAACTGAGGGAGGCCAGAGTGACAGTCCATCACTACCTAGAAAATCATTTCCTTGAGCTCCATCTTCATTCCATTGATAGCTTTCAACAATGTCGGCCAAGCCAGAAAATCATTTACATGAGCACCGCTTCGGTCATTAAAAGCTCTCAGTTATGTCGGTCATGGTCAAAAGCTGCAAAATCGGCTACACAGCCAAGGTCAAAGAATCTCATCGTGCCTTGGAAACTCTGCATTCATAACTCTTCTTGAGTTCTTCTCTTAGAGACCTCCAACCGAAAATATCATTTTTTAACTCCAAAATGTAGTGCACTAACTCGATTTTGTCCCTTTTGCGAAGGTAAGAGCATCTCCAACCGAACGCCAAAGGATCGTATGGCATCGTTCGATCGCTCCAACTGAATCTCAAATCTTCCGCCATTTATTTGTGGGTGAACAGTGCGACACCAATATTTACGTTGCATTGTTCACATACACTATTTTGCTCTCTCAACCGGAAAAACGCGGGAAAGGGAGAAGGATCGTTACCTTTGCAGAAGCACTTAAAATAAAGTTCGATTGGAGCAGCACCACAGCATTTTGGAATATTGCTGTATTTTGCGGTGAAAAATGGCGTTCTCCGTTAGAGATGCCCTAAGAGTAGTTCTCTTCATTCGCACGTTTTTTCGACAAGTTCAGTAGAGATAGAAAAATAACGAAGATGAACAATACAACGTCAATATTGATGTTCCACTGTTCACCCGCAATCAAATAGCGGAAGTTTTGCCGTTCGACTGAAGCTGCCGCCATTCAAACGGTAGTAGTTCAATAGGAGATGCCCTTACTACTCGTTCTATTCTACAGACCGCTTCTCTCCAACTTTAGCCAATTTATGAGTTTCTTTCAACTCAAAGTCAATTAGTATTATTTTCTTTGATTATGTTTAAAAATATAAAAATTTGTAGAGAAGAACTAAACATCAACCATAATAGAACCCAAATTCCATCATTAACAACTAAAATCCAATTACAGACTTAATAATAATCAGCAAGTTGCTGAAAATGATAACAATAACCAGTAATAATCTCCCAAAGGTGTTCGATGAATCCATCAAAGCAGAACACAGTAGTAAAAGGAGAGAGTAGCGGGTGCTGAAGTTCAGTTCACCTCTGCTCCCTCTCCTTTCCCTCCCACACATCATTCATCCCTAAACAACATTGGAAGGAGCAATCTTAAAATAAGCCCCTTCCCTTCCCCTTCTCACAATAACAGCTAAATATATCTTCTAAATTAAGACATACTACACTTCTTAAGCTATAATATATATAGCAATAGAGATGGAGAAATGGTCAGATAAGCGAGCCTTAATGGAACTGAGCTCCGGCGAAGGTCTGGCCGAAGGACCAGTTTGGTGGCGCTGCGTTGTAAGAGACTATAGTTTGGCCATCACTGGTTGTAACTTTGAAGGAGAGAGATTGGCCGTCGAGGTAGGAGTTGCTTTGCCAGTTCTGTCCCCAGTTTCTTGACATGGGTTGCCAGCCGGTCTTTGATCCCTTGACAGACACAGCATGAACATCTCCGGCGCCCCCGACGTTGGTGATTAGAACCAGGTTGAAGTAGGAGTGCCCGTTAATGGTGAATCTAATACCTCCCCTTCTCCTACATGGAACTCTGCTTAAAAAAAAAAAAAAAACAGAGTTAAAATGTATTCAAAGATTAGTCCCACTACAGTAAATTTGAGGATTAAAATCTTTTGGAATGCTAATTATTTAGCTTTTGAGTTAATCGATATCAATCTGGTAATATATTTAACAGAACTTAAAAGCTCTCTGGTGTTCCATCCTCTTAGCAAAATGTGAAACAGAGGAAGAAGCAGAGACTGACCTTCTGTAAGAAACAGGCACAATCCCAGCCTTGTAAAGCGCAATACGTTGGAAAACAGGCTGAGAGAGATCAAAATGCTGGAGAGGAGGATTGCACCACCCACCGGCATCATTAGGGAGAGCATTGTTTGGTGGGCAGAAGTTAGTTGCAGTGACGACAATGGAGCTTGGAAGACACCATTGGTGTTCATTAACGCACCTAATCTCATAGCAAGAGCCGCAGCTGAGGCCATTGTTGAAGAGAGCAGTGCTCAGAGCTGCAGTGTTAGTTCCATAACCCTGACTGTACAGATTTCCATAACCACAAGCACCACCTTCAGCAGAACAAAACATAGAGTTTTAGGAATAAAGGAAAGCTGGAGAAGGTAAGGAGTTGCAGACAAAATAAAACTTGGAGAAGAAGAGTACCCATTGTGCCTGAAGCATCACTCCCGCCGTAGAAGGTGGCGTGAGCATTAGTCCACCCTTCTCCGACTCCATAACCGAGTGAAGGAGAAAAGAAAGGTAGAATACCAACAAGGAGAACCACGAAAGAAACCATCTCCTTGTTGAAGAAACTATGGAATGAAGAAGAAGAAGAGAGAATGATTGTGGGAGAGAACGGGAAGAGTTAGGAGGATTAAATAGAGGGAATGGGAGGGAGGTCACAGCCACCTGTTCAAGGTTCAAACAGAAACAAGGACTGTTCTGAGGCCAGGCATGGACAAGTCGATGAAAGCTGGAACCTTTGGGTAAAAAGAGAGCTCTGTTGTGGCTATTCTGGCGGTTTTGATATTTGAAAGATCACAGCTTTGGAGGCTTCCTCGGTAAAGGAAAACACAATGAAGGTAAACAGGTCATGCGATTAAAAAGAAGATGCTGCAAAAATAAAAAGCCTTCGAGTTTGAATTCCTCGAGCGGTTAAGAGCATCTCCAACCGAAAAATCTATTTTTCACTTCAAAACACAGTAAAACTTCAAAGTAACAATCCAACTCCATTTGATTCTCCTCTTTTGGTGGGATTCTTCATCTCGCATCGAATGTAATCATCTTCATCCTCTTTCACGCGCATCTTTGACAAATCTCATATCCCAATTTTATGTAGGTGAACACTGTGACGCCAATACATCAATATTGGTGTCACACTGTTCACCTAAATTTTGGCATGCGATTTAGGCTTCTTTTGGGACGGCTTTTTTATTGATTTTTAAAACAATTTTTTGTAAATTTTTTGTACTTGAAAGCTGCTTTATGAAGCAATAAGAAAGCCGTCCCAAATGAAACCTTAGCGTTCAAATGAGCGAATGGTAGACGGCATATCATCGTGTGCACCTCGGTTGGAGATGGTTTAATTCCTTAAAAGGTTGTGTTTTACTCTGAAAAACATTTATATTTAAATAAAAAACAAAAATTTGATCGATGGAGGCAGGCTTATAATTTTTATATAAATTTTCTTTGAAGAGCGTGAAAATTTAGACACGTTTCGCTGTCCTGCTCCCTCCATTGTCCTGCTCGCTGTTTTGCTGAATAGTCGAGTTAAATAACGGTTTAAAGCTTTAGATGCAGCTTCATTTATTGCAGTTCCAACTAACGATTTGTCTATCCAAATGGACCAATCGGTTCGTTCATTAATAAAGATTCTTTTTCTTTTTTTTTTTGAGAATTTAATTACACATTAAATTAGTACAGAGCAAAACTTTCAAGCTCAAATTTGATTTTTCAATTTCGACCTCTTCAAATTTTCAAATTAAAATTTGATTTTAATTTTAATTTCTTCATATGAAATATTTAAAGAGCACTTACAAAAAGAAATTAGTTCTTAGGGGGTGTAAAAAAAAGAGTAGCAACTCGCTCGTTGTAAAGTTATTTTGCCCTTCCATGCAGTTTAACTTGCATGAAAAGGCAAAATGCCATTATAAGAGCATCTGCAATTGAAATGTAAACGTTTGTTTGCAATTGCTATGAGCCTCCATGTGAAAGTAAAAAAGAAATATATTTTTACAGTTGTGAATAGTGTAACGTCAATATGGATATGATATTATTCACATAAATAAATTTTTGGTGAAAATGAAGATGAGAAGTAATTTACATGAAATGTTCTTTTTTGTGTTAGAAATGAGTTTGGTGGGAGATGAATTATTGTGTGATATGAATATTATTATTTGAAGTAGAAAATAAAGAGTTATATTAAAGATGTCCTAAGAGGTCAATTTATTAGAAAAATAGTAACAAATTTGGCTAATTAGTAGGGGTGTCAATTTTTGACACGACCTGAAACACGACCCAAACCCGACCCTGAAAAATTCGGGTTAGGGATAACCCAGACCCGAAACGGGTCGGGTTCGGGTCCAACAAATCAACCCGTTTTAAAATCAGGTCGGGTTCGAGTTGACCCAGCAACCCGAAATTGACATGAAAACTCATATTTGACCCGGAAACCCGAGATTGACCCGTTTTGACCCGATTTTGACCTGAAAAATCGAAGATTGACCCGATTCGGGTCGGGTTGACCCAGACCCGAATCGAGTCGGGTTCGGGTCTGGAAACCTGACAACAGTTTAAAAACGGGTCGGGTTCGGGTTGACCCGAATAGTGTCGGGTCAGTTTCGGGTTCGACCCGAACCTGACCCGTTGACCCAAATTTACACCCATACTAATTAGTATGACTAGCTACTGAGGTTAGTTGTTGCCTGCATTTTTTTGCTTCCAAAAATGCTATGCTCAATGTCAATTTTTTTTCAATTTTATCACTTTCAAATTTCCTCTAAACACTTTTCTCCAAATTATTATGCTAATTATACATGTACAATTCTTATGCTAATTTTAACTTTGTATTATTTTATTTTTTTAATGCGACATCAAAAATCACCTTGATTTGGCATGAATCTTGATGCAAATATGACTCAGAATCTTTCAAAATTAAACTTAGGGTCATCCCAACTCCAATTTCAGGAAACTGACAAATTGGTCATCTCATGGAGAAGAACCCAACAACACCAAATTCGATCTAATTCGAGCTCAAATGGGCCCAAATCAAATGACTAAGCCTACTTGAACGTTTCAGAGCGTTAATCGGACAAATCAAATGATATTCAAACATGATGACATGCTTATAGTCAAATTGGATAAGGTGAGTATTTTTTTGTTGGTTAAACTTTTTTAATTTATAGTGGAACCCCCTTGTTGGACTACGCATGTAGGCAACAACCCTAAATCATCATCTATATGATAACAACTCCTTATTGTGTTTACCACTTGTCTCTTGCCTCTCATCTTTATAAGAAAATTTCTTCTCTTGTTCAAAATTCACTAAGTTACTACCCCTGCAATTAATTGCCATATGCATTCCTCCTATGAGCAAAGAAATATTGTGGGTCGGAGGCTTAACCTTTAACAATTCTCCTTCCACCTTATGTACAAAGCTTCTCTCCCATATGCAATTAAGAAGCAATAATATCTAAAACTAAGCCTAAATTTGCAATGAAAATTTTTGTCGAAAAATCTTACTTAAAACCGAAGAAAATTTCCGGTGAAAATTTCTAACCGACTTCCCCTTTCTTCTCTATTTCACACGAATAGAACATAAAAACCAACTTTCAAACATTTTTGCCCTCTCTCGCCGCCTAGCTCCTTCTAGCTCAAAACTTTAAAGATAAATCTCAATCTATTCGAAGATTTTCATGATATCATTGATCACTGCAGTCTAAGGAGACTTTATTAGGTATATTTTATAAACCTTATTTTGATTTTTCTTTGTTCATCAGAAATGCATTTCGGTTCTCTCATTAGATTATAAAATGACACACTTCTTGCTAATTGAAGACATTTTACCAACTTCTTCATTGTTTGTATATGAGATGGTATTTGCAATGAAATTGCAAGCAAAAGTGTACTTGTACATAAATGAATATCAATTGGGCCTCAAACAACATGAAAATACTTGCGACCGCTCTTCATAACTAGATTCACATTTTTTATTGTGTTTGCTTGCTTTAATGATTTAAATGTTCATATGATAATTAATTTGATAGTTATGTGATCATATGCATTGTGTTAGAGCAAAAACCATCACAAATTTCATATTGTGCGTATTTGATCATTGTAACTCTCTCATCACCTTATATCTTGAATAGATATTTACAACCTAGTCTTTGATATATTAGGCTTCAATTGGGACGGCTTTCTTGCTAGCTACTTCTTAATGCAGCTTTCTAGTAGAAAATTTTTCATTTTTTAACTAGAAAGCTGCTTTAAGAAGAAGTATGACAGTCATCCCAAGCAAAGCCTTAATTTTGAATGAATTGTTTGTTTGATGCCTTATTTGGTGTCTTACTATAAGAGTTATCATGCAATTATTCCATATCATAGCTATATCACATAAAGAACTACAACAATGCAAAGTTTAAACTTCAGTCCATTTTCCTTTGTATTTCTTGTTCTCATTGAAAAGATTCTATGCAGCTTTTCCTTCCTAAGAGACATAAAGACCAGCTAATTATTAAAAGTTTTTATATGAAATAGAGTAGAATTAAACTATGGGCTGTATTTTATGAAATGCCGGTCCTGATTTCTATATAAATATCTTTGATATAATCTTAGATATTGTTCATATATACTATATTCTTATGATTCTTTTACAAGCTATATGAACGTGTATAGATTCCTTCAAAAGAAGATGCTGCCAATAAAGTTTATGCTATCTTCCAACAAAAATCAAATAATTGAAGTAATTATATTATTTCATCAATTTAGGGAAATATTATACTCCCTTAAAGAAACATCTTAAATAAAAGAGAATTACATTCTCTCTATTTTGGTGGATCATTTAAAAAAAATGAAAATTAAATAATTTTCAATTTAAAAATATTTATATTGCATTCTTATTGTGTTGCCCTACTAGCTTCTAATTGAAGATAGACCTATTATCACAATGATGAATGTGTTGTCCATAATAGATTTTTTAAAGAAGGTGTGCATACACTGCATGCCACAAGTGGTAGGTATTTGAATGAAAATAATAAATATTATCATTTAATGTAATATATGCAATTAATTACAAGATGAAATAATAATAGCCTTAATATTGAATGGTTATTTTCCTAATAACTATTATTTTTAATACTCATTATTCTAAATAGATAAGGATAGAGGTAGGGTTGCATGATGGAGAAGAGTTGGGCTAGTTTCAGTAATGTAATGGTGACACGTTCATGGGATATAGACTGTTAAGGGAGTACTTCGCAGTGAAATAAGCCATTGATTACCATTAGTTTCGCAAAGATGTTTTCATCCTTCATATTCCTTGCATCCATCAATGCAGATAGTGGTGATTGATGTCATGAAAAAAATTTTAACCATTGATTTAAATTAGAAAATAAAAAGAACAATAGATTTAATTTATATGTCATTGACAATTGCCAAGATTAATTGTAAAATGACCCACTAAAATAATATAATATGAAATATCATTTATTTAGTGAATTATATTGGGGATAAAACATCAGAGTACCATAGATCATTTGGATGATAAGTTAAGATGATTGAGGTATGAAAATATAGTTTGTTGCTTTTATTCCATTCATAGGGTCACAAAAATGATAAATGAGATTATTTTGATTGAGTTGGAATCCTATTTGAAGATATGACTTGATGTAAGACTTTTTTATGAAGGATGGTCAAGGTGATCATGTCAGCATTCAAGGTTGGGTTTGAAGCTAATATGTCCTAGCTTGAAATCCAATGGAGTCTCATTGATATGGGAT